CATGTTTTGTATGTGTCTCTGTGCTTCTTTCACTGTTTTAGTAACACCCGTTTCCAAAATAAGTTCTGATCCCAGCTCTGGCCTCATTTACACTGAAATTACATTGTGGTATAATAGTCGAGTCCTCTTTTTATTTGTTTTAGAGGTGGGGCAAACTCTTCCCTCATGTTTCTGGCCAAAAGAGGCATTTATTTGCTATTCCAAATGTTACATGATCATAAGCAATTGGTTATTGTGATCCAATTATATGTCCCAGCCTTCTGTCTACTGTGATGCAGAGCAGGCTGATGTTTATCTGATCCTACATATTGGTCCCATGGTGGTTTCTTAGTTGCTTGCCGTATCAAAATACTCCAAATGAGCAGGTTAAGCTTTAGATAGGTGCAACATTACACCTATTTACATGTGTCTCAACTGCACATCCATACAAACTTTATTAGTTAGTTGCTTTTTTTGCAGATCTAACTGATTTTTGGCAAAAGCTAAACTTCACAGAAAAATCATACAAACAAAAAAGTCTGTACTAAAGTAAAATGCATGCATGCATGGAATGGCTGGCCACTTTATCCTGTGCACCATTTGCCAAATAGTAGACGATAATACATAATTCCACATTGGAGTGTGTTTGCAGTCATTTAAAACAAGCTCACAGCGTTGACATAAATCAGTGTATGTGTGAAGCTCATATACCTGCATGTCTGCAAACTGCCGGTTTGACGAGAGACAGATCTGAGGAGATTTCACCATAAAGGTTAGGAACCGTGAAATATCTGAGAAGTGCTGGAACCCTTCTCCTCTCCAAATTATAGCCGAATGCATGCTATACAGTCTTAGTGGTTGAGGGGAAACGCCTTGGCAGTGCATAAAGGGCTCAGTGTGCGGCTGAAATGACCGTGCGACTCCTGAAAATAAACAGAAATCAAATGGAGTGATTGATCGAATAAATTAACCTCAGCAACAGCATGCAGCACGCTCTCTCCCCCTCTCTCTCTCTCTCACACACACACACACACACACACTGCTACTCATCAGCTCCAATGACCAGACTTTTAGAAAAACAGACACTTGTTGCTGTTTGCTCCAGTGCTCAGGCCAGCTGCAATTTGGGTGTAAGTTTGTTCCACTAGTGTGATGGTGGTGGTGAGTGGGCAGTGGGGTGTTGCTTAGGTAAGGCTTGTTTGCCAGTGGAGGCATTTTAATTTGTTCTCTTTGCTCCAGAAAATGCTCTGATTGTAATTATGTGGAATGAAAATGGATTTTACCTGCCAGTTTCAGATTGATATGTCAGTTTATATTTCTGTCCAATATAGCCTTTTGATTATCTTAATGTTCCAGGTACAAATTCATTCATTTAATTAGAAGGGTTTCAGGGTTTGTTATATAGTCAGACTATTCTTTTCAGAAGCCTTTCCACCTTGAACAAGATTACTTTTTTTTAGAAAATTTGAAGAAAATCTCATATGAGTCTGTAGTATGTAGTATGTTTATAGTTAATTCATAGAGTTAATTCATAGAGGCAATTCAAGAGAGGCAATTCAAGTTCATAGAGGCCGATTCTATATAAGCTGCAAAAAAATAATAATAATAGAAATGACTGTCTTATGCCTGATTTTCTTCATGCTTGTGTTTTTCCCTGTGAAGATCATCAACTGAAGGTGATGCCTGACTCACCTTTTAACTGCCTGTGAAATCGCTGCGTTTTTCGCAGGCCTATATATTCTCGAGTGCGCCTGAAATGTAAACCGTCCAATCTGATGAACCTGCCGACCGATCAGAGCCTTCTGGAAATGAAGACAAGACCCCCACACACACAAGCACACACACACACACACACACACACACACACACACCTCAGCCCCGCCCCTACATGCCCGCCCCTCCCTGCAGCTCGCCTGTGCGGTTTATTGAAATCTCCTTCTTGCTCTGTAGGATAGCCCTGGCCTCTGGGGTAACGAGATAGATGTAAACAACCAATTATTGGATAGGCCCTCATTCGCATACCCCTTAACCAGTATAGACACAGAGGTTCTGGCTTTAATAATTTCTCCCTCTCTCTGCCCAACATTTGGTTGTCTGTCCTAAAGAATGTTACTCATCAACTCCTTGTTGCGCTGGTCTCAGGTCAGTGCGTGTCTTACAGGATAAAACTACGTCCCCATCCTATCCTATACAGGCATACCCCCGCCCAAACACCAGGCTTTGCAGCACACACCAAAACACACATCTTGCAATAATCAGCTCAATTAGTGCAGGTCGTGGTGGAGAGCGGCCGAGGTGAGCGTTGGGAGGTTGTGAAAATAGGGGGTTGGCTATTAGGGGAAACGCGATCTCCATTCATCAGCGGCCGTAATAATTACCGTTTCTGAGCCGGAGCCCTCTGATCAAACTGATCTGTGGAAACAAGTGGTTTACAAACACTGTCAAGGTCCAGACACGGGACCCCGATTTGCCCCGTCACTGCCGGTGCGCACACGGTTCTGACCGTGAACAGCTCCAATGCAAGGAAAGATGCTTTGTATTTGGATCCACATTTATACGTTCTTGCTCTACTCTTGCATTTGCTCTGATATCATCACTGCTGCAGTAACAACCCACTTCCACGATCATTTAACTTTCTTATCGGATGCATTATAATTTAATAAGTATTTAAGCTTATCTCGGGGCAGCAAAGAGTGAGCAGGTGTTGATTGTTTTTTCAGAGCGATTATCTCAAACTTTTTAAAGTCAAAGATGCCAAAAAAAGATCCCACTTTAACAAGATTGTATTCCATCTGTGCTGATTTTATGTTGCCAGTGATTATAAATAAAGCTGGATACTTGTCATAAATACACATATAACTACCTGTTATCCACATCCATGCTCATACGGCGTATCATATCATCTAATCAGAATAGCATCTAATGAGACCCTTTACGGCCCCCATCTGGAGCTCCTCTGGGAACCTTATTTTGGTTACATCTGCGCCCATCATCCCCCAAAATAATCCAAATGACTAAGGACAGAGTCAGTCAGGAATGCACTGGGCCTTCATGTAACCACCGCTGACAGCAGGGACACGCGGCAGCAGTCTACAGGGAGGCAACAGTTGCAAACAGTTAAAGCTGAAGTGAAGGACTTTACCGAAGATTTAAGAAAAATACAGCCACACGTCTATGTTTGAGTATTTCCAGTCCGTAAAGTCACTTTACACTCTGAATGCCCTTTGATATGAAACGTTAAAAAAAAAAATTAAAAAAAAATTAGACGACACATAACCTGAGTGGAGAATAGTGTGACCACTGTGAGTGTAATTGCTGCACCTCTTTCACCAGTGGGAGAGCCTCCTGTGTACTTTGGGCTCACTTACGAGGCATTGAGGTTTGTGTGTGTTAGATGGACGGAGATGATAATGTTTTTTTCTTTAATCTGAAATCGGTTTCAAATATGAGCGCCTGTCAAACTGTTTACAGGTCATATTTTCACTCATCGGGCGAGATTTCTCCGGTTCTGAATCAAAGTCAGCTAATTAAAACAGTCATCAAATGATTTAATGGTAGATTAATTACTAGGTTATATTATATGATGTTGTAATTACATTATTATTATTATTATATTATTATTATGTTTTATTTGTGGGAATAAAACTTCATTCTTAGTGGAGGATTTTCTCCTATGAGCTGTATATGTAGGCTATATAAGGATAAATCGCTTCCTTGTTTTTCTCACTATCCATTTCAGACGAGCCCCGGTCCCCTGACGATTACCATCAGTCAGCTTAATGCCGTAATACTCTCTGAACTGCGCTTCGGGCGAAACCCAAGTCAATTTATTAAACACAGAGAGAACACAACACGGAAACAGGGATCAGGCTCTTCTTACAGGACTCCTCTTCTCTAGTGATAAACTAACTTCATAATTACACTAATAATTCCTAGTGAACAGCCACGACTTGGATGAAATAGCTCCATAGCCAATAGGCCGCGGGAAAATATAGATAAATTGATCTTGAGCTTAAATAAAAGTGTGAAATAGTGATGTGATCAGCCAGTGGTTATATTTTATTTTTATACATCTGAGATTTAATGTAGCTCCTTCCTGGGACTTTAGATGTGCTGCTGATATTTATTTGCAACTTCTTTTTTGAAAATATAAATTTGAGTTCTGCACATAGGCCTATATCAAATTACGCCTAATAAATACTGAGTAATAATTATTATTATAATAGCAATAATAATTTGAAATATGAATTTTAAACATTTAATGTTTTGCACACTGACTTAACAAACCTCTGGACTCTATTGGAGCTTTTTTTGTGGTCTACAGGTAAGTTATGAGAAGAAACAGGACAGGTGTGCGTGAGTGTGTGTGGTGTGTGTGTAGCTGTAGTGTGTAGTGTGTGTTGTGTCGCAGGAGAAGAGAGAGAGAGAGAGAGGAGAATGATCGACGATGATGATGAGAGAGATGAGAGAGGTGTTTTGTTTGTCAGTGTGTGTGGTTTGAGGCAGCAGTGTCGAGTGATGTGATACTGAGAGTGGGTGTAACTGACAATCGTATCTCTAATGAAGAGGTCCCATGGTGAGGCGATAGAAATCTCCCAACTGGTCAATCTTTGGTCCAGCAGTCAATAACACATCATGCCCATCCGCGTGACACACGTCGCACCATATCCAGCACAGACCACATGACTTTTGGTGCTCATCCTGCTGCTGCTGCAGTCTGGAGAGCTAAAGTCTTTAATCGGGCAAAAACTCATCATTTCAACAAGTCCTTCCTCCTCAGTGAATCATAAACCCCCCTCACTTATTTTACCTCTAAAAATCCACTCTCTCACTGTTTCCTCTACCCTCTCTCTTTTTTATCTTAATTATCACACTGAAATGATTACTCAGGGCAGTTCTTCAAATCTTATCTCCTAATCCTGCTTGTGATTTTGATGATCTCTGACTTCAGTCTTCCTCCTCTGTTGCACTAAACCGTGTCAGCCAGATGTCTAGAGTACAAACGGAAAGTTTTGTCTCACCGGTGTGCTGGTTGGTGCCGTTTTTCTTCTCCGCTGTTGCCCGGCAGACTCTCCTCCTCTGCTCTCCGTCCAAGAAACTCTACGGAACACACGCACACTTCATTTCACCGTTAGAGCGGCTGCACACCTTAACGTTGTTTGTCACTCTGTGCGCTTCTGCCGTCACCGCCTCACCCCTCATGCAGACACCCCTGGATTCATCATCATCTGTGTTATCACACACATTCAATAATAAATTCTATCAGGACAATGTTATAATAAATTCTAGATTAACATATTCATTAAATATAATACGCCTTTGGGGATAGGCTGAAGAACTGCCATATTCATGTCAGATTACATTAAAAAAAAGTACTTGAATTAGCTAAAGTTAATATAAACAAGTTAACAGACGCACTTTAAGCTCATTTGGGAATGTTATAGCGCGCAGTCTTTATACGTGCAAAGTTATTTAATATTTTTGATGCATTGATTTCTAAATCTGACTTTCTAGACGTTTTCTAAAGTTTAAAGTCTTGTTTTTCGTATTTTGTCATTATTTCTAACATGTCATAACACTTGTATGGCTACATTTAGTGACAAGCTGTCTGTTTGGACTAACAGCTTGCACGAGGCTACATGTAAAGCACCTTTATATACATTTCTGTTTACAAAATGGCTGTTTTAGAAGTTTATGTGAAACAAATTTATCTAAATTCATTTGAAGTGAGGAAACATAAATCCCTTCGCCCTGACAGAATTAATATTATTTATTTTTGTTTTTTATATTAATTCTTGCTTCATGCAACCGCCATGAACAGTTGAGGCATTTTTGCTAAACTTTTCACCAAAGGCTACATGACCTGTCTGCTAGTTGACAGTAATTTCACCTGTATGAAATGATGAAGCGACTAACTTTAAAGTTCCAGGCGTTGTGGAAATCTTGATTGATTTGTGAACGCCGCTTGAGGCATGAAGACATACTTCAGCAGGCTCTGTGCGCTCTGGCGCCATCCTTCCCCCAGCTGCGGGACCAGCGCTGCTCTCTTTCCCCACACTCCCTCAGCTCTGCGCTCTTTGGCTGCCTAAGGTGTCTGTCAAAGTGAGGAGAAAGGAAAAAAACTGTTTTAGAAGAAAAATCTGAGCAATATTTCTGTTGGTAGGCGGGATCGTCGTAGGGGAACAATCGGGTTGACTTTGCCAGGGAGCCACCTCAAAGCGTATCAGGTTGCTTTGAGTGACAGCGTAACCATGGCAAATAATTTGACTAAGGCTATTGTCTTATCCTCACCATCCCCGGGTCAGATAACCGACCAATCAGAGTTCATATAATCGCCTGTCTTGCCAGCTTAGAATAATATTATTAAAACGAGCCAGCGAGCCCGGTCTCCGGGAGTATGTTATGTTGAAACGGCATAGAAAAGGTGGAGGACGGTGGAAGGAGTAGCAACTTTCTCTCTTTCTCACCAACTTTATGAGGATTTGTCGCCTGGGGTTTTGCATGGCTGAATGGACTTGAGTTTATTCCACAACACGCAGTTGGATATTACCTCACCTTGGGCTGTTTTAAGCTTTAAGTTGCTCTTTTTTGGGGACATTTTGTCGCTTATGGACTTAATGCGTTTTGATTTAATGTGAGACTGAGTGGAGAAACGTGGAAGTAAGGCACAATATAATCTGTATTGATTTACGTTGTCGCCATGTCCATGCTTCCGACGTTTGGTTTTACGCAGGAACAAGTGGCGTGTGTCTGCGAAGTCCTCCAACAAGGGGGGAACATCGAGCGGCTGGGACGCTTCCTCTGGTCCCTCCCGGCGTGCGAACACCTCCACAAAAATGAGAGCGTCCTGAAAGCGAAAGCCGTGGTCGCCTTTCACCGGGGGAACTTCCGAGAACTCTACAAGATCCTAGAGAGCCACCAGTTTTCGCCGCACAACCACCCGAAGCTGCAGCAGTTGTGGCTCAAAGCGCACTACATCGAGGCGGAGAAGCTGAGAGGCCGCCCGCTCGGCGCAGTGGGGAAGTACCGCGTCCGGAGAAAGTTCCCCCTGCCCCGCTCCATCTGGGACGGAGAAGAGACAAGCTACTGCTTCAAGGAGAAGAGCAGGAGCGTTCTCCGGGAGTGGTACACCCACAATCCTTACCCGTCCCCGCGGGAGAAAAGAGAGCTGGCCGAAGCCACGGGACTCACCACCACGCAGGTCAGCAACTGGTTCAAAAACCGACGGCAGCGAGACCGAGCAGCGGAGGCAAAGGAAAGGTAGGAGTAAAGTTAAAAACACACATCAGAGTGGGTGAATCTTGTAGTATTTTTATGAATGTGACATCAAGCAAAAAAATTGACAAAATAGACACATGTTTCTTTGGTGTGTGTATGCAATATGATTTGCTGACCTACATCTGTAAATGTAACCTATTGCATGAACCAAATATGAATATATTTTCAGTTCTTAACAAATCCTCCAGTTCTGCCCACGCATCTGTGTGTATTTGTGGGAAATTACATCAGAAGCAGGCCCCTTTTTCATGCTTTTGGGTTGAGTAAACTCACGTCCCGCACTGTTGTTTGTATGTTTGTGATAATTGTGCAGGCCGTGCGTAAAAGTTGAAAGAAAGTAAATTAAAGGCTTTTTTTGTCAGGTAAATTACAAGGTTATAAAAGTTGCATTTAACCTACTTTTATGTTTTAATCACACTTATTATAACATCAAATTTAACTTTTTGATTAGGATCAGAGAAAGAAAGACGATTTTTTTAACCCTCTGGATACTGGCGTGAACACAGAGCAGATACAGAAGAAAACATCTCGGAACACGTTTAAAGGTTGTTTTGCGGTGTAATTGATGTGGCGCGCTGTGTAGCCTTTATATCAGCCCGGTTGACATTTCATTAGGAGTAGTTTGTACTTTTCAAAGTTTGTAAATTACACAGGCAGGCGTGCAGAGAGGTTTGGGAGACGTGTTGTAGTCAGGTGTTCGCTGGGTTGGTGTCTTCTTTCACCCTCTGGCCACTAATTCGGGCTGAAAGCTACATGTAAATCATGTCTTCCCACTGAGAGAAGCCTTACTCACACACTGCAAGCACAGGACTATGCCATACGCAACAGGCACATGTTTAGCAATAATTAGACCTGTCATTTACTCAAACGTGGCAAAGGCCGAGAGCTTGCCCACTTTGATAGGCGTCTTTATCCACAGGTCACCGCTTAAATTAATTTGCCATAAACACAGCTTAATGCGGGTTCAATAGTCACATAGATTTATTGTCTCCAGTCACTGTTCACCACTACAGCCATTTAACTCTCTGCCTCATAGCCTCTAATTATGTCATTGACTTATTATTTGTATCTAGGCACACGTGCGCTTGAACGCACTCCTGACTGATGCATTACTAAATCATTAGAGTGAACATTTTATAATTCATATATTAATTAGGCTTAATATGGCTATTAAATATACCGCAGCCTAATTAATACCCCAGTACACAGAGTAGCATGGTTAACACTATTTTTGCTTAGTGTGTGTGTGTGTGTGCTTCTTTTAAGAATGATGATTTTTGTTGTTTCTACCACGTTAAAAATATGCACTTTTAAATATTTAATTTGCACATTTGCTCTTCTAGTTTACATCCTGTGTAACCCCACAGGATATTAATAGATATTTTTGAATTACACATTTTTCCTGATATACTCATATGTTGCAGTTGTTTATCTGTTGTGTCTCTGACACTGTTTTCTGTTCGCAGAGAAAACAACGAGAACAGCAACAGTCACAACCCATTGACTTCTTCCATGAATGGAAATAAATCTCTATTGGGGAGCTCGGACGACGATAAAACACCCTCGGGGACACCGGATCACACGTCTCCGAGCCCGGCTCTGCTCCTCGGCACAAACACCGGTTTACAGTCCCTGCACGGCCTCGCGCCCCCGCCAGGACCCAGCGCCATCCCGGTACCCAGCGGTGCAGACTCGGTGCACCATCACCACTCATTGCACCATGACACCATACTGAACCCTATGTCTTCTAATCTAGTGGACCTTGGCTCTTAAAAAAAAGCGCCACAGAAGGGGGACAGAGCACACTTTTTTTTTTTTTTTTT